ATAATGGATTCTGTCTAACGCTCCTCTTAAATATCTGGTTGTTGCCCTGTGTTGTAGAGATCCTGCAGTTTTGGTTCTATAGATTCATCCTTTTCACATGCTCCAGCAGTTTATGGATGTGGTAGATGTTGGGCTGGGTTAACTCATAGCCCTGGTTCTTGGCCTAGGTGGTAGCTGGGTTGGTCAATATTCCAACTTTCCCTCATCATCACTACCGAGGTGAGTTCTCCAGCACTACCTTGGCTAGCTTGCCCAATGAACCCTGCAGTAATGGAGGGGGCCAGTTCCTGAGTTCTCAGGTCCCTAGACCACTCCCACAACCAGGACTAGCTTTAATGTTTTCCCAGGTGAGTTGCAGGTCTCTCTCTCCCTAGTGCTGCATGGGATATATGTGTTGAGGGGGGTCAGCTTTCCTACTCTCATGCCCTCAAGGTCAACCCTAGAGTATTGTACAGGTGTGTGCAGGTGCAGGGCCTGATCTCCTGTGTGCTGCAGCTGGTGAGGAGCTGGTCCAGCCCTCAATTTTCCTGACCTCAGGCTGGCTCTCTTCCCTATTGCAGGTAGGAAGGGCCAGATGGTGGAAGGCATCCTTCTCTCACCCATGCCACCATATGACAGATAGTGGGTGGGGTCAACTCTACTGTCCTGACACCCTCAGAGTAGGCTCACCTGTGTCCCTGACAATAGGTTCAACTCTAGTGTGCTGTCGTGGTGGGTTACACAAAGATGGTGAAGGGTGGAGCTATCATTCAGAAATGAGAGTGCAGGGACTAGGGAGAACAGTTCTCTTGTAACAGTATCCATCAAAGAGCAGGGCCTACTATCTCAGGGCAAGAGAAGGGCAGGGCTGGCTCTGATCAGCCCTCAGATTTCCACACATGTGGTTCCTATAGTCCCCTGTGCTAGCACCAGCCATGCACATCATCACAGACCTCAGCAGGATTACAGACCCAGACTTGGCCTTCTCCAGCAGCTGGGGCTCAAGAAGTCACCAAAACCCCCAGTGGCAACACAGGGCACCCAGATCAATTTGGCCCTGGTAGCAGCATGGTTATCAGAAACTAGCATGGACCCAGGTGCCTGACTAGAAACTTGTCATGCACAGAGTCCTTGGTGGTGATAGGAGTCATGGATATCACCCCAGCAGCTATAGGGTCATGACCCAGATATGACCCTCAGCAACAGTCCTGGCCGGGATGACTCCCCATTCCTGGTGATGTGTGATGTTGGACCTCCCATGTCTGGAAATTGTAGTGTGGGTCCTGGATGATTTTTAAATGCATATGTGAGCATGTGCATATGTATATACTTGTGTGCATATATATGCAAATGTGTGCATTTGTGTCTCTGTTTTGAGGATTGGCTTAGGACCTTACAATACTAACTAAACACTGTGTAGTATGCTATACTCTCAACCTTCTAAGACTTTTACATTTTTGTTCATGGCTTAAAACAATTTTCTGGCCCAGTTGAGTGGGGGCTAGAATAGGGGGAAGCTGGAGTCATAGGTTAGAAGACAGATCTGGCACCAGTGAGACCTCTAGTGATCTAAAGGGATGACACCAACTGGCAAGCTAAGCAATAGTGGAGAGACCACCTTAAATGCCCATTCCTGATAATGAACTTGATGTCCATAGCCATCCTAGAACCTGCATCCAGTGACTGATGGAAGCAGAGGTGAACACCCACAGCTAAACACTGAACTGAACCCATGGAACCCAGTGACAGACAGAGAGGAGCAATGAGCAAATTGGCAAAGAATGGGCTGGCAAAACCAGCAGAGACAGCTGATCTGAACAAGCAGGAGCTCTTGGACCCCAGACCAACAGCTAGGATGCCAGCATATGACTGATCCAGACCCCCTGAGTGTGAGAGTCATTGAGGAGGCCTCTGAAACTTATGGGGCCCTGGGCAGTAGATCAGTGTTTATCCCTGGCATACAAACGGACTTCGTGCATCCATAACACAAAGAGGGATGCTTTCTCAGCCTGGACTCTTAGAGAAGTGCCTGGATCCTGCCTTGAGTGAAATGACAGACTCTGGATATCCCCTATGTGGAAGGGAGTGGGCATAAGGTGTGAGGCTCTGGTGGATGGTGGGGAGGGTGCAGGAGGAGGGGAGGGAGAGGGAACTGGGATTGACATGTGAAGCAAGCTAATTAAAATTAAAGTAATAAAAGAACCAACAAAAAGAATTTTCCAGAGGAACAAAAAAAAAACATATTTCTGCTATAATAGCTTCCTTTAGAAATTAATACTTTCATGTATCAGTTTCCCATGTAGAATTATGTCCTCCAATAAACAATTTTTATCACTAGAAAACATGGCAATGTTGTAAGTGCAAAGTTCTTTAACATCAATTATATGTCAAGCAAGAACAATAAATCATTGTATATAAAACCCCACATCTATATAATACATGCTAACTTCTTTATCACAGGAGGTAAGAATCTCACTGTTATTTCCTTTGTTATGTTTGTCTGTGATAAAAAGATATAGATATATTAGGAAAATAAATTGTTTGCCATTTTTGGTGTAAAAGTTTCAGAAACTTCTAAGTCATTAATCTGCAAGGAATGTACTATGTTAATGCAAAGTATTTTTGGCTCAGGTAGGAAAATATCAATGCAGAGATATGCTATGGGCCACACATTTTTTAACATGTCTTATTTAGTTCCTCATTTTCCCTCTTATAATTGTATGAGTTAGGTATTATTATTTGTGTTTTACAAATACAAAAGTAAATGGTTTGCTCAGATTCTCAGAGAAAAATATCCTATTACTTGAGTAACTACAACCTACTAAGGTTATAGATTCCTAGGAAATTCCATAACCATTGATGCCTAAGAGAATAAGTCTTTCTCAGTGATAGGGGTCCATTTGGAAGATCATAGGAAAATTTCCTTATAGTGAAACGAAGAAAGCATCTTAAACAAATGGTATAGATATAATTGAATTTCTGTATGTAGAAGAATGCAAATAGATTCATATCTATCACCCTGCACAAAATCTGATCAAAGGCCTCAACATAAATTTAGATACACTAACCCGATAGAAGAGAAAGTGGTGGATAGCCTTGAATACATTGGCACAGGAGAAAATTTTCTGAATAGAGCATCAATAGTGCAGACACTAACATCAACAATTTAAAAAATGGAACTTCATGAAACTGAAAACCTTTCTTAAGGAAAAGGACATTAGGACACTGTCAATAGAACAACATGGCAGCCTACAGAATGAGAAAAGATCTTTATCATCCACACATCTGATTTATTATATATAAATAAGTCAAGAAGATAAAACAGAAACCCAAATAATCCAGTTAAAAATGAGGTACAGAGAATTCTCAAAAGAAGACTCTTAAATGGCCGAGAAACACTTGAAGAAATGTTCAACATCTTTAGCCACAGAGAAATGCAAATCAGTACTACTTTGAGATTCCATCTTATACCTGTCAGAATTGCTAAGATCAAGAACACAAGTGACAGTTCATGTTGGAGAGGATGTGAAGCAACAAGAACTATGCTCCATTGCTGGTTAGTATGAAAACTTGTACAGACTCAATGGAAATCAATATGGTGGTTTCTCAAGGAACTGGGAATCAATCTACTTCAAGACCCAGATATAACACTCTTGGATATATACACAAATGATGCTCAATCATACCACAAGGGCTTTATTCATCTAGCATTCCTTCTCTCAGCTATCCCAAATTTCCATCTGTGCATCCCCCTTAGTTTTCCTCAAAGAATATTTGTTTGTTTGCTTATTATTTGTTATTTCTAATAAACAGCTCTGAAAAAAAAGCCCTAAAGAAAGTAGTTAAATGTTTACTGTTCTGAATTGGAGGTTCTTAACCAAAATAGTCTATAAGACAAACAATTCAGAGAATTCAAAATTATTTGAAGAAATGTATGTATTCTCGCTCATTTGGAACGAGCATGTGGGAATTTTAATGGGAACTTAGAGTGTTTCTCAAGTTTTCTTTGTTGTAATTAGTCCTAGAAAGCTAAGAGATTAGATGTAAGTTCTTTCAATCAATTCACAATTCTTCCCCATATGTATTTCTTTTTATGTTTTATTTACATTAAATTTTCAAATGCATAGTCACATGAAATCTCTACTTGTAGGCCTATACATTTTGCTTTCTCTTGAGAGAAAGGGAGAGATGGGGGAAAGATGGAGAGAGAAAAAGAGAGTAAGAAAGGAAGGAAGGAAGGGAGAAAGAAACTAAGAAAGAAAGAAAGAAAGAAAGAAAGAAAGAAAGAAAGAAAGAAAGAAAGAAAGAAAGAAAGGAAAGAAAGGATAAAAGAGAGAGAATGCATTTGGGTAGGTATGAAGATGGACAGGATCTTGGAGGAGTTAAAGGGGTATGATCAAATATAGTGTATACAGAATTTTAAAATAAATTTTATTTAAATGTTAAACATCCTTATTCATTTTGTAAATGAAAATTTTAAAAAGAAGAGTTCGTTATTTTAATTGCTAATTGATCAGGGTGTCTCCATAAAGGAAGAGACTATTGTAGTGGTACAGTAATGCTCTCTCATTAACTCTTACTCACTGGTCAATTTTTTGTACTATATTATGCTATATTTTTCTATCTTCTAGATGCCTGTTTAATTAATGCATGTTTTTAAAGGGAATATGAAGTATTTTAAATAACATTTGGTTTTTGTTTATTTTTCTGCTAGCAAGCCTATACTGCTAGATTTACACATTGACAAGCCTAATAATTACCAATATAATTGCAGTAATATTTGTTCAGTTTCTTTTCTTTCAAAACCCTTAAAATTGTGAAAGCTCAATTAGATGAGAGCCTATTTATTGACATATGTATATGACTCTTCCCTTTACTAGAAAGAAAAAAAGCCAACTAATTTCTCAAATCTAGACTTTTTTTATATTTAAAGAGTATATTCCAGGGACAACCATTGTAAAACTTATTTATTGGTCTCTGATAAATAAATTTCTTTACTAATAGTCATTTTGTATTTATAGGTATGAACATAAGCAAAAGTGAGATAACAACAGAAGCTTCATTGAAACCATCTAGGAGATCCCTGCCTTGCCTGGCCCACAGCTATGCTCATTCAAAAAGCTTGAGCCAATCTGCTTCACTGTTCCAGTCAACTGAGAGTGAATCTCAGGCTCCAAATTCTGTAACATTTCTTTCTGCTGAGAAATCTGAGCATGGTGAGTAACAGTTCATACTGTCATCTGTAAAGTTTTAAGAATTGCTTCCTTCTTGCTCTGCTACATTTTGCTAATGTTTATTTAACTTTTTAGGGATGAGTCTGGCAAAAATAGGCCAGTACAGTATATGGGTCATAGGAAAGGCCTGTTGGCTATTATGTGTGTTCATTTCTGTCTTGTTTGACAGGTTGCCTATCTCATGGGATTCTGAGCTTCATATTGGGTGTATTATGGGGAATACAAAGCCAGCTCATATGGCACCTATTTTATAACCCTGTTGTCAGAACATTCCTGACAATAATTTATAGACTATTCAGTAATATATTAGCAATAAGGAATTTTATTTCCTTATAAAAAGCACCACCTGAAGACACTCAAAGAGATATTACACAAAAAATAAGAAATATGAATACAAGTATAAAATCTCAGGACAGATTAAATCTTGCTAGAAAATTAACAACTGAACAGCAATACTGAAAAATAGCAAGTATTTATCTAGTAAATCATCAATTCTCCAACATAATTAAAAGAGAAAGAAAATTATGCATATTGCCTCAAACAACCAGAAAGAAAAATCATCCCCCAAATACCAGCAATTAGTACATATCTTTAAATTACAATGCTACACAAATATAAATAAAGGCATAGATTGAAGGACTCGTTAGAAAACAGAATAAGATCTAGTACTTCCTATCATTGCTGTTGAAACACATACTCAGAATGGAAAAGATACACAACTTAGACAATGCCAAAATAAACTCAACATAGACAAAAATCTCAGCACAGAGAAGGAAAAGACAGCCAAAAATTTCACCCCTAGCCAATAAGTTATTCACAGTTTGTGCCTAATGGGAGACAGAAAAATGGGTTTTCTTCTGTGGCTTGACACTGGGTATATAAACTATACTCCAGGGCATGCCTCATAATCAATAGTTGGCCAAAACACAAATGGGAGTCGTGTGTGTGTGTGTGTGTGTGTGTGTGTGTGTGTGTGTGTATCTGTGTGTGTGTGTGTGTTTTAAGAGAAAGAATATGAATTTGGTTGGGCATGGAGCTGGGAGAGGAGCTAGAAGAAGTTAAGGAGGGTAAAATAAATAAGTAAAAACATTATTTTAAAGCATATTTAAAATGACTGAAGTTGATTTCATTCTAGTGATTCAAGGATGGACAGTTAGATAAATGAAAATCAATTCCTGTAATATACCAGGTAAAGAAACTGAAGAAAATTAATTTCAAAATATTCTTTTTATTTAAATTAGAAACAAGCCTGTTTTACATGTCAATCTCAGTTCCCTCACCCTCCCCTCTTCCACTGCCCCCAACAGACCTTGTATCCCATGCCCTTTCTGCTCCCCAGGGAGTGAAGGCCTTTCATGGGGGATCTTCAAACTCTGTCATATCATTTGGAACAAGGCCTAGACTCTCACTTGTGTGTCTAGGCTGAGAGAGTATCAGTCTATGTGGAATGGGCTCCCAAAGTCCATTCATGTACTAGGGATGAATACTGATCCACTACCAGAGGTCCCATAGATTGCCCAGACCTCCAAACTGACATCCATGTTTAGGAGGTCTGGAAGAGTCCTGTGCTGGTTTCCCACCTATCAGTCTGGAGTTCATGAGCTCCACTTGCTCAGGTCAGCTGTTTCTGTGGGTAATTCTAGCCTGGTCTTGACCCCTTTGCTCATCACTCCTCCCTCTCTATAACTGGAATCCAGGAATTCAGCTCAGTGTTTAGTTGTGGGTGTCTGCTTCTGCTTCTATCAGTTATTGGATGAAGGCTCTAGGATGGCACATAAGGTAGTCATCAATCTCAATATCAGAGAAATGCATTTAAGGTAGCCTCTTCACTGTTTCTTAGATTGCTAGTAGGGGTCATTCTTGTAGATCTCTGAACATTTCCTTAATGCCAGATTTCTCTTTAAACATATAATGGCTCTTTCTATTACGGTATCTCTTTCCTTGCTTTCCTATATTCTCCCTCTTACTCAATCTGCATGTTCCCTCATGTCCACCTCTGCCCTCCTCTTTTCCCCTTCTCTTCCTCCTAACTCCCTGTCCCCTCCCACAATGCTCCCAATCAGCTCAGGAGATCTTGTCTCTTTCCCCTTCTCTGGGAGTCCATGTATGTCTCTCTTAGGGCCCTCCTTGTTTCCTAGCTTCTCTGACAGTGTGGATTGTAGGCAAATACTCCTTTGCAATATGTCTAAAGTCCTTGTATGACTGAGTACATACCATGTTTGTTTTTTTGTGACTGGGTTACCTCAACTAGAATGGTTTCTTTTATGCATATTTCAAGATTCCATTATTTTTTTTCACTGAATAATAATCCATTCTGCAAATGTCTGTAAATGTACCACATTTTCTCTATCCACTCTTCAGGTGAGGGGCATCTAGGTTGTTTCCAGGTTCTGGTTATTACAAACAATGCTGCTATGAACATAAGTGAACTGATATCCTTGTTGTATGAACGTGCATCCTTTGGGTATATGCCTAAGAGTGGAATTGCTGTATCTTGGGGTAGATAGATGCCCATTTTCCTGAGGAACTGCCATACTGATTTCCAAAGTGGCTGTATGAGTTGGCATTCCCACCAGCAGTGAAGGAGTGTTCCCTTTTCTCCACATCCTCTCCAGAACAACTGCCACTGGTGATTTTTATTTTAGCCATTCTGACAGGAGCAAGATGGTATCTCAGAATTGTTTTGATTTGCATTTCCCTAATGGCTAAGGATGTTGAGCACTGTCTTAATTATCTTTCAGCCATTTTAGATTCCTCTGTTGAGAATTCTCTATTTATTTCTGTACCACACTTTTTAATTGAATTATTTCGTGTTTTGGTGACTAGCTTCTTGAGTTCTTCGTATATGTTGGAAATCAAAATTTCCTTAGGTTGAAGTTTTCCTTCCAGTAATTTCTATAGGGCTGGATTTGTGAATATGTATTTTTTTAAATCTGGATTTATCATGAAATATCATGTTTTCTCCATCTACAGTGATTGAAAGCTTTGCTGGGCCAGGCGTTGGTGAAGCATGCCTTTAATCCCAGCACTCAGGAGGCAGAGGCAGGTGGATCTCTGTGAGTTTGAGTCCAGCCTGGTCTACAGAATGAGTACCAGGACAGCCTCCAAAACAATGCATAGAAACCCTGTCTCTAAAATCCAAAAAAAAAGCTTTGCTGGATATAGTTGTCTGGGCTGGCATCTGTGGTCTCTTAGTGTTTGTAGAACATCTATCCAGGAACTTCTGGCTTTCAGAGAAAATATGGGACACTATGAAAAGAACAAACCTAAGATTAACAGGTGTAGAAGAAGGTGTGATTCTGATAGGTTTGCCTTTATACATTCCTTGGGCCTTTTCCTTAGCTGCATTTAGTATTCTTTCTTTATTCTGTATATTTGGGGTCTTGATTATTATGTGGCAAGCTGACTTTTTTTGTGGTCCACTCTATTTGGTGTTCTATAAGATCCTTGTACCTACATTGGCATATCTTTCTTAAGGTTGGGAAAGTTTTCTTCTATGATTTTGATGAATATGTTTTCTGCCCCTTTGAGGTGGTTTTCTTCTCCTTTTTCTATACCTATTATTCTTAGGTTTGGTCTTTTCATGGTGTCCCATATTTCCTGGATGTTTTGTGTTAAGGATTTGTTGGACCTAAGATTTTCTTTGGTTGATGAATCCATTTCTCCTAGTGTATCTTCAACACCTGAGATTCTCTCTTCCATCTCTTGTATTCTGTTGGTAATGCTTGTATCGGTAGTACCTGACCATTTGCCCAGCTGTTCTATTTCCAGCCTTTCTTCAGGTTGTGTGTGTTTTTTTTGTCTCTATTTCAGTTTTCACCCCTTGCACTGTTTGCATTGCTTCTTGCAATTTTCGGTTTATTTTTTCCTCCATTTGTTGCATTTTATGAATTTTTTGGTTTGTTCTTTCTTCCATTTCTTGCATTTTTGGTTTGATTTTTCTTCCATTGCTTGCATTTTTTGGTAGGCTTTTTCTTCCATTTCTTGCATTTTTTGGTTTGCTTTTTTTCCAGTTCTTGTATTTTTTGGTTTGTTTTTTCTTCCATTTCTTGCCTTTTTTGGTTTGTTTCTTCTTCCATTTCTTGCATTTTTTGCTTTGTTTTTTCTTCCATTTCTTGCACTTTTTGCTTTGTTTCTTCTTCCATTTCCTGCCTTTTATGGTTTCTTTTTTCTTCCATTTCTTGCATTTTTTGGTTTGGTTTTTCATCCATTTCTTTGAGGGAATTTTCCTATATCCTCTTTTAGGGCCTCTATCATTTTCATGAAGGTGGTTTTAAGGTCATTCTCTTCTGCCTCATTTGCATTGGAATGTTGGAGTCTTGCTGGTGTGGAGTCTCTAGAATCTGGTGGTGTCATATTTGTTTTTCTGTTGCTGAGTGTGTTTTTGTATTGTCTCTTTCCCATCTCTTCTTCTAGTGGGTGCAGAAAGAGCCCCTTACTGGTCTGGTGGTTAGGGGATCAGAGTTCCTTCTGGTGGTTGCTAGCAAGTCCAATAATCTGGTAGTTCTTCTATTCCTCGTCCTCGTTCTGGTCCCGTGGGTGGAGAAAAAGACCAGGAATCTGGTGTGCTTAGCCTCCCACCTGGTCCCCTGGCCCCTTTGCTGGATCTGCTGGTTTCCTGGTCTCGTTGGTGTGAGAGAAGACCTGGAGTCTATGGTGTTTGGCTCCCGCCAGGATTGGAAGCTCTGTACAGTTCCCAGGCAATCCCTAGGCACTGGAACACAGGCCTGGATGCAGGGCCTGTTGTACCTGGTCCCCGAGGACCTCTATCATTTTTATGAAGTTATTTTTAAAGTCATTCTCTTTTGCTTCATCTTTGTTGGGATGTTCAGGTCTTGCTGGTGTAGAGTCCCTAGACTGTGGTGGTGTCATATTGGTTTTTCCTTTGTTGAATATGTTTTTGTTTTGTTTTGTTTTTCAAGGAAGGATTTCTCTATGTGTTTTGAGCCTATCCTGGAACTAGCTCTTGTAGACCAGGCTGGTCTAGAACTCACAGAGATCTTCATGCATCTGCCTCCCAAGTGCTGGGATTAAAGTTGTGTGCCACCACCCACTGGCCTGTTGAATATTTTTTTTATTTTCCTCTTCTCATCCCTTCTTCTGGTGGGTGCAGGTAGAGTGTTCTTCCTTTCCTGGTGGATGAAAGCAAGTCCAGTATTCTGATGTCTCTCCTCCTCCCATGGGTGGAGTCAGGACTACTACTGAGATGTTGGCAGACCCTTGATGGGCTGTTGTGCCAGTATGGGTTCCCCCAAGTGCAGGCTCCAAGCCTCAGGAGGCTCTGAGCAGGGCTCCTAAAGGCATCTGGTAACAGACCCAAGCTTACCTCCTCCTGTGGATGGAGGCAGAACCAGCAATCTGGCAGTCACTGGGTGAGCTGAACTGACAGGATGGGTTTGCCAGTGGGCCATTTCCAGCCTCAGGAGGCTCTGAACAGGGCACAGGAAGGCAGGTTCAAAATATTCTTTTTAGACCATATAAATTAAAAACCCTTTCATCATGAAAACTCTTAAATAAATTAGCTATGTAAGGAATACATTGCTTCATATAATAAAAATAATATTCAACAAAGCTACCAATAACATTTTATTGAATTGGGCGAAAGTAAAAGCATCGGTCCTGGATCAGAATGAACTAGGCACAACAGGAATAATAAAAACCCAGGGACTGATATTAGGTTCAAACTTCAAGCTGAAGATCAAACGACAAAGCAGCAATCCACTAGCTCTTACCTCTAACTTACACTGAAATGAGTATTTTACAAAGCCTCAGAGTGCAATCCTGACTGCACTGCTCTCCACCAAGCCTAAAACTGCAACCCTAGACTGCTGCCTCTCCTCAACATGGCCTTTCACTTCTTCCTTTTATAACTCTCAAATCCTGGGATTCCAAGTTATTGGTTCTCCTTTGTGTGAGCTATACCTCCTTTATACAGGATAGTACTCATGTAGCTCAATGGCCTTGAACTAACAGATACCCATCTACCTGTCTCCTGAGTTCTGGGATTAAAGGTGTCTACCACCACCACCTGACTTCTATGGCTAACTAGTATGGCCATTGGGATTAAAGTTGTGTGTCATCACTACCTGTCTCTATGATTGGGCCTAGGTTTGCATTTTGATCTCCAGTTGCTTATTAGATCATAAATATGTATCACCACAGATGGGTATTCCTTTTTGCTTACTGTTACTCAAGTCACTGCTCTTAGTCACACCACTCAACAGGCTGAGGCAAAAGATCATTATGTGGGGATCAAACTGGGCTATATAGTGAGTCCCGGGCTAACCATTCCTCAATAGACACAGTCCTTCTCAAACTAGGAAGCAATCAAAAACTGTCACACTACAACAGTTCCACAGTAATAAAAACAACATGACACTGGCACAATATTCCATACATAGAATAATGAATCTCTGCAGCTGTAGCCCTTCACAATTGCCACAAACAACATAAAATACCATGGGGTAACACTAACCAAACAAGTGAAATGCCTGTATAACAAGAACTTTGAGTCTTTAAAGAAAGAAATTAAAGAAGACATCAGAAAATGGAAAGATCTCCTATGCTCTTGAATAGGTAAGATCAATATAGTAAAAAAGGCTATCTTACCAAAAGCAATCTATAGATTCAATGCCATACCCATCAAAATTCCAGCACAATTCTTCACAGGCCTTGAAAGAACAATAAACAACTTTATATGGAAAAACCAGGATAGCCAAACAACCCTGTACAATAATGCCAACCCTATAGGCATCACCATCTCTGATTTCAAGCTCTACTATACAACTTGCTTTTGGCCTAAAAACAGGCAGGTAGACAAATAGAATTGAATTGAAGATCATGATAGTAATCCATTCACCTATGAACAACTGATTTTTGACAAAGAAGCTAAAATTATACAATGAAAAATAAGCATCTTCAACAAATGGTGCTAGCATAACTAGATACTGACATGTACTAGAAGACTACAGATAGATCCATATTTATTGATGTATACAAAACTTAAGTCCAAATGGATCAAAGACCTCAATACAAATCCAGCCACACTGAACCTCTTAGAAGAGAAAATGGGAAGTACCCTTGAAACCACTGGCACAGGAGACCACTTGCTTAACGTAATACCAGTATCACAGACACTGACATTAATAATTAATAAATAGGACTTCCTGAAACAGAGAAGCTTCTGTAAGGCAAATATAAGGCAAAGGACACAGTCAACAAGACAAAACTGCAACCCACCCCCACCAACCCCACATCTGACAGAGGACTAATCTTCAAAGAAGCTAGTCACCAAAACACCAAATAATCCAACTAAAAATGGGGTACAAATCTAAATGGAGAATTCTAAATACAGGAATCTTAAGTGTCCAAAGGCACTCCTTAGCTCAACATCCTTAGTGATCAGGGAAATGCAAATCAAAGTAACTCTGAGATGCCGTCTTACACCTGTCAGAATGTCTAAAATCAAAAACACCAATGACAGTTTATGCTGGAAGGATGTGGAGAAAGTGCGGGTGAGAATGCAAACTTATACACCCATGTTAGAAATCAGTATGGTGGTTTCTCAGGAAAATGGTAATCAGTCTACCTCAAGATCCAGCAATTCCACTCTTACGCATATACCCAAAGGATGCACATTCATACAACGAGAACATCTGTTCAACTACGTTCATTGCAGCATTATTTGTAATAGCCAGTACCTGGAAGCAGCCTTGATGACCTTCAAGGAAGAATGGACAAAGAAAACATGGTGCATTTATACATTGGAGCACTAATCAGCAAGAAAAATGACATCTTGAAATTTGCAAGTAAATGGATAGAACTAGAAGAAAAAGTTGTGAATGAGGTAACCCAGAGAGACAAACATGTTATGTACTCATGTGTGGATATCTTACATAGAGCAAAGCATAATCAGCCTTCTATCCATAACCCCAGAGAAGCTAGAAAACAAGGAGGCCCCTAAGGGAGACATATATGGACTCTCCAAGAAGGGAAAAAGGACAAGATTTCATGAGTAAGTTGGGAACATGGGAGGAAGGAGAGGGAGGCAGGAGAGAGAGGAGGGGAGAATGGAGGGGGCAGGAGAACATGAGGGATCAGGAAGGTTGAGTTGGGGGAAAAACAGAGAAGAAGAGCAAGTAAAGAGATACTTTAATAGAGGGAGTCTTTATGGACTTAACAACAAACCTGGCACTAGAGAAATTCCCAGGAATCCACAACAAGGACCCCAACTAAGAATCTAAGCAATAGTGGAGAGGCTTCCTTAAATGCCCTTCCCCTACAACAAGATTGATGACTATCTTCTTTACCATCATAGAGCCTTCATCCAGTAGCTGATTGAAGCATAAACAGACATTCACAGCTAAGCACTGAGTCGAAGTCCTGTAATCCAGTTGTAGCAAGGGAGGAATGATGAGCAAAGCAGTACAGGCCATGCTGGTGAAACCCACAGAAAAAGCTGACCTGAGCAAATGAGGGGGATCACAGACCCCACTCTGACAGCTGGGGAATATGCACAGGACTGAATCAGGCCCCTGTACCTGGGTGCCATTTAGGGGACTTGGGATGTCTATTGGGTCCACTGGCGGTGGACCAGTATGTATTCCTAGTGCAGGAATTGGCTTTGAGAGACAATTCCCTATGGAGGGATTCTCTCTCAGCCCAGATACATGGGAGAGGGTCTAGGTCCTGCCCCAAATGATGTGACAGATTTTGATGATCTCCCATGGAAGGCCTCACCCTCCCTGAGGAGTGGATGGGGTATGGGATTGGGAGATGGTGGGGGCAATGGGAGGATGGGAGGATGAAAGAACTGCAATTGGTATGTAAATCAGCCTTTTTCCAATTTAAATTAAAATTAATTTTAAAAAAGAATTCCTTTAGTTCCTTCTTCTCCCAGGTAATTTAGGATTACTAATAATTTCTTTCAAGACTGCAAAAATGCTTTGTATTATAGTCAACTTACTATAGTGTTCATTACTCAAGAGAATGGACATGATAAAATGTAACACTGCTGTTAAGTTGAAAGTTAAATTTTAACTGTTGTTTAAGTAAAATTTAAGTCTCAATACATTAACTTAAAACATTTCTTTTTATTGATTATCATTGTGACATCAGATATTATAGTCATTTTATATTTATACAATTCCAAATGACAAGGTGTCTTTTTTTTCAGTTAATTCTGAGCAACTTAAAAACGACTCTACCCTCAAATGTTCCTTTGCTGACTTCAGTGAGTTTTGCTTGGGTGAGTTAATTTCCAATATATTTCTTCTCTCCAAAAGTAAAGATGTTCTTCAAATCTAGAATAATTTTGCATACAAATGTTCATTTTGAGTCTACAATTTGAGCAGATTATAGAATTCTGAATTTTATTGTAGTTAATTGACCTATTATACAATTTAAAACTCAAATGATATAAGCAGACTGTAGTGAATGATACTATAACAAAATGTCAGTGATTTTTAATTTTAATTTTATGAATTCCTTTCTGTTCTACACAAATAAGTACATTTACATTGATGTGATGAGATGTATCAAATTTTGCCACTGAATATTTTTCATGAGAGTAAACGTTGAAAGATCTGTCCCTGTTCTCTATCAGTAGATAATACACATATATTTTTACAAATTTTTCCTATAAAGTTCAAAATGAATCTATTTTTCTTTTTTATTATTATTTATTTTAATTTTAAATTTAAATTAGAAACAAGGTTGCTTCACAAGTCAGTTCCAGGTCCCTCTCTGTTTCCCTCCCCTCCTCCCGTGCCGTCCCCCCAATCCTTCCCAATGTCCCCTCATTTCCCCAGGGAGGGTGAGGCTATTTATAACCAATAAATTGATCATGAGTTTTCTTTATGAAAATATCATTGTTGTGTCTGCAATGCCTATGTGGTTAAATGGAAACAGATTGAAGACTCCTGGGAGCTTTTGAAATTATCTGATCACACAAGCAACACATGATCAGGGTTAATTTGGCTAGTAGTTGACAAGAATATCCAATCTTTTTGTTATTTCCTGGGTAAACATAAATGAGACCAAGATTAAAAATGTCTTTTCCAATATTACAACAATGTAATCATATTTTTATACTAACTTTCAATCTGTGTGGCATAGAAACAGGGCTACCTTATTAATTTCCTAATTAAAACATTATCTGGTTCATTTAACATAAAGCATCCAAAGTAACATTTAATCAGAACAAAAGACTTCCCTGGCCTCCCAAGTGACACCCACATTCAGGGGGCATGGTTCTGTCTTATTCTGGTACCCCAGCTGTCAGACAGTGATCTGTGAGTTCCCACTTGCTCAGGCCAGCTGTTTCTGTGGTTTTCTCCAGCAGGGTCTTGACCACCTTCCACACACATACACACATAAATTTAAGTCTTTAAACCAAATCTGTAACTCCAGTATTCAGAAGGCTGAAGCAGATTACAACTTTCAGGCTAATCTGAGCTCATAGCAAGACTGACATTAAAAGGAAAGAAAAAACAAAGTTAATGAACTCATTTCAAATTTCACAAACCATATTTAAATGGAAAGCTGCCATTATAAGGAAATTTGCTAGTATCTGTGTGACTAAACACCCACATAATCCACGTTGATATAGTTCCTAATTGACAGATATTTTATCACTCATCTCTGAGAAGGTTCTCTTTGCAGTAGATGGTAGATAACATGGAAGTCCACACTGGCCAAGATGTAGAGAATAAAAGACTGCAAAGTTCCCAGCTCTTATTGAACATGTACTCTGTATCCCTTCTTCCAACAGATGAAGGATCATGGTGGAAGGGGAGAAGAAAAAGTGTAAAGGCATGAGGAGATGGGTCACTACAAGGAAACAGTGTCTATAGAACATAGCAGGCAGGGAAGTTGCAGACATAGTTCAAGTAGTTGTGACAGCATGCAGAAAAATTATGCAATCCCAAACCAGATCAAATCCCAGCACGGAGATGGTAGTTTGGCATGAAATTCAGTGACTAGCCATGGAGATATTGTCCATTCTGCTGTGAGAGGAAAAGCCAGGCTTCTCTAAGAGTGTAGTCCTCATTATGTCCATTACTCTCTAATAGAAAACCACACATGTAAGGATGCTTGGGAAGCACAAATTAGTCTTAACAAGGAAATATAAAACACAAAATCAGGTGGATATAAAGTAGTCATATATCTGAGATAAGTTAGGAAAGTATATATGATATTTAAAGTGTAAAACAAACTGTCACATAACTAAAAAGAAAGTCACCTTTATCTCGGCAATACAGTGTTTGTATTATCTTTGAAAGGATTTAAAGTAAGAAGTATTGAGTATAAATAAACACGAGTATGTTAGCAATGCATGTTCACCTTCAAATGCCAATCAGTCGTATTTGTTGTATCTGAAGTCGATGAAAACCACTGCATCTGAAGGCATTGCATTGGAATTTCCAAGCACTGAGAACCAAACAAGTACATCTGGGTAATAACTCCCTTTTCACGGTGAACTACTTGGCACTGCCCATGAGAATATTAATGCTGCAGTATAACTGACTGCCTGTAGACAGTGTTTCATTGAGGACTGATATTTCCCCTTGCTCAAAGGAAGAACTCAGAAGGAAGACTATATTTTAGAGCTTAAGATTCTTGTGGAGCTGAGTAGTTTTAGTTACTTCTCCAGCTGCTATGATAATCATCCTGATCGAAACAATTTGAGGAAGAAGGGTCCATTTAGGCTCATGGTTCAAGTTAATCAGGTGAGGCAAATGGTCACTTTGCACTACCTGTTAAGAGCAGAGAGCAAAAGGTGCACATACTCAGGCCGTTATTACATTTATACAGTCCAGCACACAAGCCAAAGAGTGTAGGGTGGGTCTTTCTATCTCTGTTAACTTAATCAGTTTAGTCCTTCACAGATATGAAGACAGGCTAGCCTAACCTAGAGGACCACTCATATGCATGCACAGAGGTTTGTAGTTTTTATTATTCTAGCTCCTCTCAAATGACAGAGTACTACCCAGCAGAGTTGCCTAATAAAATTCATGGTTTTCTTGGTTAAAATGTGCTTTCTACTTTAGCCATCTATCAATCAAAACATTCTTGTATTTTCAAGTTGTGTCATCATGGCATTTTATTTAATGTAGATGAATCTTTATGATCTTATTTGCTAATTGGAATCAATTTATAGCTTGTCTGATTCCTGTGTTAATTGAAGAATCATAGCTTTACCATAGCTACTAGGACACCAGAAAGTAAACAGATTTTGATTCATTGATGCGTTTAGTCACTCAGTTTATTTCCACATTAAATTCTAATGAATCCACAGATGTCTTTGCCATACCAATTCATGTTTAGAGATTCTATTACTATCAAATATGATATTTATGATATAACAGCAACAGTAATTTACTGAACTCATTTTCATAGGACACTTTTCCTGGTTCATCTGATGTAATTCTCATGAAATCCCTTAGGGTTGGTTTTATTATTATCACCTTTTTACAAATTTGAAAGCTAGGTTTCACTGAATAAAATGAAGTTTCAGTCCATGCATAGATCTTCAATAGAAAACTGGTAATCTCTGGAAGTCTTAATCCTTGACCCCTCTCTTAATACCAGCATATGCACAGAGATCTTTAAGGTAAAACATGGATAGTGATATCTACGTAAAGCTGATTCAGTAGTATTTTCAGTTTCTAACTGCAAGTAAAACTGCATGGTAATGTACTTGGGGAAATGACTGATTAAAACTAATCAGATTTTCAAACCTTTCTATTGTTTTCTCCATTCCTTTTTGTGACATAATATTGAATTTTGCTTTTCATGAAGTATCTCATAAATAAAAAATGTCATTATAATCTGTATTTATAACACACACACGCACATGCATGCATATTTACATACACACAAGTGCACACATGCATCCAAGTGCACACACTCAATCATATTATCCATTTCTTAACTCATGCATTCACACAACTCATTCAACAAAATGATGATTTTGAAATCATTAGTTTTGGGATCCCCACAAAATTGGAAAATGACAAAGGCACTATAATTAGCACAGATAGGTTTGAGTATGCCCATACACAGTCAAATCAGTTAGCTTAGAAATAAAATAAGCTTATCTCATCAAAACCACTATATTTTACTTCAGTCAGTGAAAATATGCATTTATCTAATCAGGTTGTAATGTCAAAATTTTGCTGATGTTATTAATGTCTCTTAATAAAGGTTCATATTATAAGGTCAAGGCATTTACTTGTTTTCTACAAGTTCAGTGATGAGGGAATGCCTTTATATATGTTTCCCTTATTGGTTAATGAATAAAACACTGTTCGGCCAATAGAGGCAGTAAAATAAGTGGGGCTAGGAGACAGTGAAAATGCTGGAAGAGAGTCAGCGGAATTCAAAGAGATGCCATGTAACCACTAAAGGAGTAGCAGGTTTGGGCATTCTCTGGTAAGCCAAGACCAAGTGGAAATACATATATTAATAGAAATGGGTTAATAATTAAGACAGAGCTAGTCAATAAGAAGTTCTGGGCATCAGTCAATGGTTTAATAGTTAATATAAGACTTTGTGTGCTTATTTGGAGCTGAGAAGGGTCCTGGCAGGACAAGAAACTCCAGTTACCCAGTAGTTCAGTCTGACTGAGTAGTTACTGTTATTTCTTAGAATAATACGGCCATCAATCTCATAATAGAGGAAGGGCATTTAAGGTAGCCTCTCCACTATTGTTTATATTCTTCCTTGGGGTCATCCTTTTGAATCCCTGGACATTACCCTAGTGCCAGATTTCTCTTTAAACCTATAATGGCTCCCTCTATTATAGTATCTCTTTTCTTGCTCTCTTTCTCTATTTTTCTTTCACCTCCATATTCCTGATTTCTCATGTTCTCCTCTGCCCCTCCTCTTCCTCCTCCCACCCTCATGCTCCCAATTTGCTCAGGAGATTATATCCCTTTCTTCTTATCTAGGAGACCATGTATGTCTCTCTTAGGGACCTCCTTTCTTCCTATCATTTTGGGGCCTGTGAATTGTAGGCTGGCAATCCTTTGCTCTGTGTCTAATATTCACTTATGAGTGAGTACATACCATGTTTTTCTTTCTGTGTCTGGGTTACCTCACTCAGTATTGTTTCTTCTACTTCTATCCATTTGTCTGAGAAATTCAAAATTTCATTGCTTTTTTCCCCCATCAAGTAGCACTCCATTGTATAAATGTACCACATTTTCTTTATCCATTCTTTAGTTGCAGGGCATCTAGGTTGCT